CTGCAGGATGTAGCAGAACTATTTATTGAAGCTTGGAATTATGTTCTTTCAGTATTAGTTATCTGTTTATCAGACATGTTTATCACAGTTTTAATAAATTACCAGTGTTGAAACTTCTGAAATGGCCTCTAGGGTATTAGCTACTGTGCTTTATTATTAAGAAGTTAGATTTCAATGAGATATTATTTATAATATATGTGCCTTGTCCTTGAGAAGAAAGCTGATGCTGGAAAAGGGAATTTAACTTTTCACTTTTAGACTGAGGCAGCAAGTCTTTATGGAGAAGTCCTAGAGGATTTAATAGGGAAGAAATAGCTAGTGTTATAGAAATGTTTTTACAGTACACATCATAGAAGCTGAAGTTAAACAAGAACCTTTTCATGGGCTTTCACACCCAGCCTATAGAACTTCTTTCAAAGATTTTTTTTCTTCTAAGTGCTGTAAGACCCTGCACATATTAATTTCTTTTAAATGCTATAGAATTTGCTCATGGAAAAGTAGATTTACACTAGAGCTGTCTTGTATAGAGACTGCAGAATATATGGAAACATAGAAATAAAATTATAAAATGTATTTTCCATTATCAGCAAGAATCTATGGGTGGTATTTTAGAGGTCTGAAATCTGTTCATCATTATTGATGAAAAGTTGGGGTCTGACATCTTCTGGATAAATGAACTGGCCTCTGAGCAGCCACTGCGTGAAGGATTTGGTCTACACCCCAATTTAGAAAAGTCCTTAAGCATGCGGTTAAACTAAACTGGACAGGTAGGGTATGTAAATATACAGAAGATATCAAATACAGTGCAGAAACATGGTCTCTCCATGGTCCTTTCTCCCTAGGCTTGGAGTAAAGTTTCCATACCTTGCTGTGAAATAAGCTGACAAAAAAATATTCGTAAATACATACAAGAAATGCAGAGATTTGGGGCCCGTATAAAGAATGCAGGAAGCTGCCTTCAAAGCAAGTATATTTTTTTTTTCCAGAAGTTCGTTTCTCTGAACATACTAGTGCCTGGTACAGTCACTTGAAAGGAAGATGTAAATAAACACACAGGCAAAGAAATTACACTGCCAGCTCAGGTCTCTAGTGCACGGTAACTGTCATATCAGAACACCTCCTGTCCTCCTTCCCCGTGCATAACTCAGCAAAGGGGTGATGTGACTGGCACACTCTGCTCAGGGTGTCATGCAGCACACAAGCAGAAAACCAAAATCAGCTCTTACTCTGTGGGCAGATTGAGAAGTCTCCTGTGGGCACTGTGGAAGGTTTATGGAAATGGAAGCTACTGCCTTTAGCAATCCCTGCAGACCCAAGCTGGGGACGTGAAGTACCACTTCTGCTCCTGCTGACGTTAGAGGAAACCTGAGGAACTCAGTACTTTTAGAAAATCCAGAGCATCTCACAAAATCAGTCCCTAGTGGGGTTTTGGGGTTTTTTTTTGCAGTAAGCCTGTACTTGGGGTGTTCTTAAGCTCCTTCCAAACATGCAAAATGTACACATTAATATTCCACTTTTCCTCCCCCTTAATAGGAGAGAACAACATAATTCTAGATCTGCCTTGCATGTATGTAGCTTGCACAAAGTACTTATTTAATGGAAGTGAGATTGGTAACAGATGGATAGGTTTGTAATAAAAAATGGGTTTAATTTACCTGATAAATATGCATATGACCTATTCTCTTCCAGGTTTCACTTTCCAGTTTTAAAGCAATGTTCTCATTTTGCTCAAAAAACCTGCAAACCTCAGTTGTGCAAGTACAGTGCAGGGATTAGTGTATGCTTAATCAATCCATATGTGGTGTTTGAAGTAGTTAGAAATTGCTGGCCTGAATGTAAAAGCTGGTCCGTAGAAGTCAAATAGATTTTCACATCAACATTTGAGGATGCACAAATGCTATGGTATCCTATTGACAATGGGACTTACTAATCACAGGCAGATACTTTGGATGCCAAAATTGGGATGTACAGATGATGAAATAAATGTGCCTAGAAATCTTCTGTCAGCAGTGCGTGCTGTATAACTGATTTGACAGCACATGATGAGCTAGAATTTCTAGAGCATGTTGGTCTGCAAGTCTGAACTGGGAGCAAACTGTGATCATCATTTGTTAGAGGAAACATCAGCTCTTTCTGTCTATGCACTGAGCTTAACCATTGTGGCTCATCTGTTAATTTCTAGTTGGGCAGTGTGGCACCAGGTGCATGTGGCTGTGCACATGACTCTCTTGTGATGGTTCTCCTTCATGTGGCTAAAGATGCATAAATAACACACAAACTCTTTGAGAAACTCTGCCTGTATAGAACTCAAGAACAGAAACAGAGATGGGAAGAACCAGCTGTCCATGAAAATAGGCTGAAGGAAAACATGTTTAATTGCATTTTCAGTTCAGGGACAAAGTTGCCAGTACTCTCATGCCTGGCTGGATAGCTGGCTGGGCAGTCCTGCTTGTGGTTTGCATGGCTCTAGTCTTACAAAGTAGCTGCAGCCCTGAGCTGGTTGTTTCATTCATATGGCATATGAATTTGGTGTTCCTTCATTCTGCACCTAAGCCATGTGGTTGTAGAGGAGGTCTTCAAGTACCTGGGAATACTGTTAGAAACTGCATTTCTTCTGGAAATGAAGCAGGGAAGAGATGGTGGAGAGCTTGTAAGACGGCAGCATGAGGAGCTACCTGGAGTGCTGTTGGTAAGGATGTAAGGGGAGGAACTGCTTATATCTGGACAGCCTGAGTGTTTGCTTGGTTGCTTAAGCACACAGCAAGTAGGAAAGCAGTTAGGAGAAAGTACATACTGTCCTGCGTTTGTATGAAGCCTTGCTCCCAGGTTTGTCACATCTTCATTCAGGCTGGTTTTTATGACTCATGCCATTCCTCCAGAAGAGAGAGATGTTTCTGAAGATTTCTCTGTCAAATGTCCAGGACGTAGTTTGATACTGTGGAAAAATGAACTGAAGGCATAGTAAGAAGGTTTCATCTGGGAAGGAGAGGCTTGCCTTGGACATACCAGTGAGTGGAGCACCAGCATTAACCAGGGAATTTGCACAGAGAAGCCCAAGACAACAGAGATGACAAAAGCAGGATATTTTGATCTGAAAAGACAGCTGGTTAGTCATGTAAAGAAACAAAATAATGCTGGAAATTGCATCTGAAAGCCTGCAGAGATCTGAGCCTGCCAGGACCTCTTACCAGATTCAACACACAGGCCATGACCACAGATGTGTGTGGGCTCCTGGGAGGACTTGAATACACTGTAGCTCGGTGGCGGGTGCCTAGTCATACCCTGCAGGCGGTACAGTTATTCAAACACGTTAGCTCCTTGGCTTTGCAATTACATTTTTATTATTGACAAGATGTTCTGCTGTGCAAGGTTGTAAATATTTTCTTTGAGCCACCAGAGGTCATTTGGGTTACTCAGCAGCCCTCAAAGTAGCTCCTCCCTGTCCTATCAAAGACATGTGTGGGACTTGTAAAACATGTTCTAGATTGCCATATTGCTTAATTATCTTCTTAGCTCTAATGAAGTGCACCCTGACTAGTGGTGCAGTCACAAACAACATGTTGCCATAATTTGGGTCATCACCAAGAGCTTCAGTTACCACTCAACTCATCAAGGTAGCATTTCAGAACGCTGAAGGGCATTGCTACCTAATAAAAAAAACCAACCACTTAGGCATCAAGAACATAGCTGGAGGGGACCAGTGCTCTGACGTGAGCTATGCTTACAGCATGCCCCAAAGGTCTGCAGTGCAGATGTCTGGCAGGAAAGGCTAGGTGTTGCCTAGGAGGATAAATTCTTCTCTGTTGTGTTGCTGCAATCCCAAAAGACCCAGAGTTGTTGCAGGGAAGCAACACTGATTGTGGAAGTAACCAACAATTTTTGTTTTCATTTTGTCCTGTCAAGCACTGTTATAAGGTAAACTGGGCTCTGTAATAGCAGTGCTCTGTCTCTGGTTTTGAAACGGGAAGAGGAGCCGCCTAATAAGATGCCTCTTTTCTGCCTTTTTTTTTTTTTTTTTTGTATTAAGGTTGTCAAAACTTGATGCAAAGTGCAGGGGTACTGTGGTTAGGTGAATATGGGCTAGATTTGAGACTGGGGATCAAAATGCTGCTGCACAGTTTTGCAGATGTCAAGTGCTCCTGGGAGTCTCCAGTCAAAATTCCTTACTCTCCTGTGATGGTTCTCTCATTCAGTGATATATCCCCCCTCAGGATATGGCTAGATGATCCTTTCTAGCAAGGTCTTATCCCAGCTCTCACAAAAACACTTCTGAAGCACAAGCTTTTGGCCTTCAGCCTGAATTGGACTGTAGTACATGGGAGGTATTTCTCAAGCAACTCCCAGGGAAAGATCTGTGCTTTTCTCTTCTCCCACCAGATCTTTTGCCTGTGCTCACGAATTCTTACTTCAAGTCAAATTGAATTGAATGATCAGATAATGGAGAATGTACCTTTTTTTTTTTTTTTTTAATACTTTCTTTTTTTATTTTTGTGTAAATGAGGTAGAAATATCAATTCCCAAATGTTGTATATAAATGCATTTCCTGGGTGGTGGCATTTCTTACTGCTCTGAGTGGATGTCTTCATGGACCTGAGCTCAGGTTATGGGAAAATTCACCCCCTCTTCTTAGTGGTCTCCCATCTCTCTCCTACAAAATTCAGGATTTAGCATGTGTCAAGGGAATAATTTCTATGGAAGCCCAGTGTTTAAAAAAATATGTTGGCTGCAGTGAGAAGGTTCAAGAAGAGTTCAGATCCAGACTGAACTTTGAAGCCATTTCCTGTGCTGGTAATGGACTGGGGAGAAGGAAAAAGAAAAAAAGAAATCCTGGCTCTTCTTGGGGAGCTTTGGATTTGTATCTGAACTTTGTGATCCTGGCCTTTCCCTGTGTAACACAGCTATTTTTCTTGTATTCAGAATGAGGTATCATGTATAGTATGGATGTTTATGTGTATTTTCACCTCCAGCTACCTGCTTGGATTTGTTAAGACTGTTTTATAAAAGGTGCTGAAGGGAGGAAAATTGCAGAGGGCACTGAATGGTTGGGTGTGTTGCTGAATATTTGAAATCTGAAAGTTCTCTCTAAGGCAGCTTTGCTGGTCTTGACTTTTCTTGTGAAGGAAGGGGCCTCTTTGCTCCAAAGCAGTCAGAGACAATAGGGATCCCACATGCTCTCAGCACCCAGTTAATACTGCCCTGAGCCCTAATGCATTTTACTCCATCTCAGGATCTGACCCAACTTGTCTGGTGTCACAAATCACCATCCAGCCTTCTTCCCTGCTTCCTGTCTCTCCAAGTTTCAACTGTCAGCTCCCAGTTGTTTTACCCAGCTTACTTTGCTGCAGGATTACTTGAAAGATGATAATCTTGTGGGTAAATTTAAGGAGACCAGCAGATTTGTGCAGAACTACTGGGCTTTGCTGTAGGGAAGGTTTTAATTTTGGTGATGAAAGCTGGTGGTTTTACACAGCACTGTTCTCTTTGAAAAGAAAGTGTGTGGGGCTTGTCTTGGACCTTCCAGTTGAATAATGATCAGAAGTTGCATTTACATGTAAATTAAAGTCTGTCCTCTGTTAATATTCCAGTTGCTTCTGTCTCTGGACTTCTCATCTATTTATTATTTGTGTGCACTGTGAGCACAGTAGGAGCGAGATACATGTTTACTGTCACAATACTGCTTTTAAATTGGGCTGTATAAATTGGCTGGAGATACTTGCTCTTGTTTTGGGGGTCTCCAGACATGGTGGTTGATGGCAATATCATGTGACTTGTGCATTTTGGTTTCTCAGGCAACAGCATGGGGTTCAGATGAAGACACCAGGAGGTCCTGTCAAAGTAAAGGTAAAACAGAGGTAAGTTTTTCTTTGCTACAATGATGCTAGGGGTAAATTTATTTGCATCATGTGAAATCCACACAGAGGGCATCTAACACCAGCTTGAGCTTGTAAATTTTCAGCAGTTCAGATTTACCAATACAAGTGTATAAGCACCGCTGAGCTAGCCATTTCAAAGGCCCCCTGTCCAAGTTATTAGACTTGCTCTGCATGAAATGTAAACATGATTTTGCTGCTGGAGAAGACACAGTTTGTGACACATCAAGGAGCAAAGTGGTGGCGAGCCAGGGGTAACATCTTGCAGTGGAGTCTGAGATGGGACAGGTTGGCTTAGTCTAGGTACTCAGCAGTCAGCCGCTGGCGTTTGGCCACGTGGGCTTCAATGCCTGTTTGCAGTTAGAGTTCATCTTTATTTAATTCTCTGGAACATGAGAATTGAATCTGTTAGTGCACGGCAGTCTGGTCAAGTGCAATATCAGAGCTCCTTCGGAGGCAGGTGCAATCTCTAAACTCAGATTGAAGTAATAACTGCTTGAATAAATGGATGCTGCCCAGAGGTTCAGAGTTTGCAGGCATTTCTGATCCAAAGTCCTTTCTGCCCCTCTTCTGAGAAGCTAAAGCAAAGCCATCTAAAGCAGGAATTATTTTGATTTTTCAAATGTGATGTTAGTACTGTTAAAAAATCTTCAGGCCTCAACTGAGAGGGTGTCCTATTGTCTTTAATACTTCATCACAAGCAGTTCTCAGCCTAAACCAAAGGAGCTGGACAAAGGATAAGGGATGATAAGCACGATCTTTGCTTAGACATGGACAGCCAAGCAAAGAGTCATTGTGTGGCTGCCCCAGAATGCTGCAATTCTGCCAAGTTCCAGTTCAGTGCTTCAAACACAGGATTATATGATCTTCCGTTGACCACGTTCATTTTATGTAATAACCTTCACATGGTCACTGTATTAACTGGTATATACATAAAAATGCTATCTTGAACTTTGGGGTCAATTTGCTTCATGTATCTGTAGAGCATAGTAGTATAGAACTTGGCCTTGGGTAATATGGTTTAGAGCAAGGTGTCCCTGCCCATGGCAGGGGGGTTGGAACTTGATGATCTTAAGGTCCTTTCCAACCCTAACTATTCTATGATTCTATGATTCTAACATCTGTTAGAGCTTCGTGTAGGATCTACATTATTTGTCACTGACACGGACAGTGGGATTGAGTGCGCCCTCAGCAAGTTTGCCGATGAAACCAAGCTGTGTGGTTCGGTTGATACGCTGGAGGGAAGGAATGCCATCCAGAGGGACCTTGACATGCTTGTGAGGTGGGCTGATGCCAACCTCATGAAGTTTAACCATGCCAAGTGCAAGGTCCTACACCTGGGTCGGAGCAATCCCAGGCACAGCTACAGGCTGGGCAGAGAAGAGATTCAGAGCAGCCCTGCGGAGAAAGACTTGGGGGTTCTGGTCGATGAGAAAATGAACATGAGCCAGCTTCAGTGTGCACTTGCAGCCCAGAAAGCCAACCGTATCCTGGGCTGCATCAAAAGGAGTGTGACCAGCAGGTCGAAGGAGGTGATCCTGCCCCTTTATTCTGCTCTCATGAGACCTCGCTTGGAGTATTGTGTGCAGTTCTGGTGTCCTCAACATAAAAAGGACATGGAACTTTTGGAACAAGTCCAGAAGAGGGCCACGAGAATGATCAGGGGACTGGAACACCTCCCATATGAAGATTGGCTGAGAAAGTTGGGGCTGTTCAGCCTGGAGAAGAGAAGGCTGCGTGGAGACCTCATAGCAGCTTTCCAGTATCTGAAGGGGGCATATAGGGATGCTGGGGGTAGACTTTTCATTAGGGACTGTAGCGGTAGGACAAGGGGTAATGGGTTAAAACTTAAACAGGGGAAGTTTAGATTGGATATAAGGAGGAAATTCTTTCCTGTTAGGGTGGTGAGGAACTGGAATGGGTTGTCCAGGGAGATTGTGAATTCTTCATCCCTGGCAGTGTTCAAGGCTAGGTTGGATGAGGCCTTGGGTAATATGGTTTAGTGTGAGGTGTCCCTGCCCATGGCAGAGGGGTTGGAACTTGATGATCTTAAGGTGCTTTCCAACCCTAACTATTATATGATTCTATGATTCTACATTATGCAGGAAAACACCATGGACACAAAATGGGTTAGTCCCCCAAACAGGGCCTGCCCTGAAAAGAACCCAATAGAATTTGGACAAAACTAAAAAACTCCAAAAAGCAAGATGAGAGGATTTTTGGAATCTGTAGTCTTTATACTTCAAAATATGTAAAGAAAAGATTTTCTCTTTTCTTCCATTATAAAGTTTGTAAGACTTAAATTGTATCCTATTGTTCATGAAAAATTTTAATTTATAACCCAGAATTATTTTGTCAACTCCTGGATAAAGCCATGCATTAAACAGAACAAATTCTAGAATAATTTCAATTTATGATTTTTACTGTCATGCCAGAAGAAAACAATGGACTGAATATCATCTCTGCTGCTGCCTTCTCACACCGCAGAGTTTGCCAAAACTGTCATGAGGATAATGCTTTGAACAGCTGAGTTTATTTTGATTGTGATAGAATCATAGAATAGTTAGAGTTGGAAAGGACCTTAAGATCATCCAGTTCCAACCCACTGCCATGGGCAGGGACACCTCACACTAAACCATGTCACCCAAGGCTATGTCCAACCTGGCTTTGAACACTGCCAGGGATGGAGCATTCACAACTTCCCTGGGCAACCCATTCCAGTGCCTCACCACCCTTACAGTAAAGAATTTCTTCCTTATATCTGATCTAAACTTCCCCTGTTTAAGTGTTAACCCATTAACCCTTGTCCTATCAGTACAGTCCCTAGCAAAAACTCCCTCTCCAGCATTCCTGTAGGCCCCCTTCAGATACTGGAAGGCTGCTATGAGGTCACCACACAGCCTTCTCTTCTCCAGGCTGAACAGCCCCAACTTTCCCAGCCAATCTTCATACAGGAGGTGCTCCAGTCCTCTGATCATCCTCATGGCCCTCCTCTGGACTTGTTCCAACAGTTCCATGTCCTTTTTATGTTGAGGACACCAGAACTGCACACAATACTCCAAGTGAGGTCTCATGAGAACAGAGTAGAGGGGCAGGATCACCTCCTTCGACCTGCTGGTCACGCTCCTTTTGATGCAGCCCAGGATACAGTTGGCTTTCTGGGCTGCAAGCGCACACTGAAGCCGGCTCATGTTCATTTTCTCATCAGCCAACACCCCCAAGTCCTTCTCCACAGGTCTGCTCTGAATCTCTTCTCTGCCCAACCTGTAGCTATGCCTAGGTTTGCTCTGACCCAGGTGTAGGACCTTTCACTTGGCATGATTAAACTTCATGAGGTTGGCATCAGCCCACCTCACAAGCATGTCAAGGTCCCTCTGGATGGCATTCCTTCCCTCCAGTGTATCAGCCGAACCACGCAGTTTGGTGTCATTGGCAAACTTGCTGAGGGTGCACTCAATCCCACTGTCCATGTCACTGACAAAGACGTTGAACAAGACCAGTCCCAACACTGATCCCTGAGGGACACCACTCGTTACTGGTCTCCAGCCGGACATTGAGCCATTGACCACAACTCTTTGCATGCGACCATCCAGCCAGTTCTTTACCAAGCTCCATCTATCAAATTGATGTCTCTCCAATTTAGAGACAAGGATGTCCTGTGGGACAGTGTCGAACGCTTTACACAAGTCCAGGTAGATGACTTCAGCTGCTCTACCCCTGTCCATCAGTTCTGTAGCCCCATCATAGAAGGCCACCAAATTGGTCAGGCAGGATTTCCCCTTAGTGAAGCCATGCTGGCTGTCACCAAGCACCTTGTTGTTTTTCATGTGCCTTAGCATGCCTTCCAGGAGAATCTGCTCCAAGATTTTGCCAGGCACAGAGGTGAGACTGACTGGTCTGTAATTCCCTGGGTCATCCATTTTCCCCTTCTTGAAAATGGGGGTTATATTTCCCTTTTTCCAGTCATTGGGAATTTCACCTGACTGCCATGATTTTTCAAATATGATGGACTGTGGCTTAGCAACTTCATTCGCCAGCTGCTTCAGGACCTGTGGATGGATTTCATCATGTCCCATGGACTTGTATATGTTCAGGTTCTTAAGACAGTTTCAAACCAGATCCTCTCCGACAGTGGGCCCAAGGCCTTCATTCTCACAGTCCCTGCATCTGCCTTCCAAGACTTGGGCAGTGTGGTCCAGAGCTTTAAACTGTTTGGTGGGCACAGTGGTAATGTGTGTGAAGTTCTGAGGAACAATAATTAAGCAGACTGTTCAACACTTCTTGACATAAAATTAATGACAAGCAGAGATACTGACTGAGGAGTCTGACAAAAAGACGTAAAGCTGCAAAGGCCGAAAGATTCTGCTAAGTAAACTCAGATCTCCCAAGTCTGTATCTACACTAACCTGTGTGTCCGTGTTTGAGTCCTTCTTGGGGCAAGTCTGCACATTCATTGCTTTTTACATTCTGAGAAATCACTTGGCACTAGCTCCAAAGATACTGAGGTTAGCCTGGCCACCTGGTGAAGTGCTCTGCTCCAGCTAAGAAATTCAGCTCTGACCCAGCACCTCTGCCCTTGGCCGGGTAAATGCATCAAGTGTGGGCAGTATTAATGTGAACATTTCTCATTCTGCTGTGCAGTGGTGGTGGTACAAAATGTAGAGCTCTGTCTGCCTCAGATCTGCTTTGTCAACACTTGACTAATGGCAGTTTTCTACCTAGCATGGATGATTTGATGATAAATACGTAATGGATTGTCAGGCAGTTAGGTATGTGGTGGTAGAGGCCAGAAATAAGGAGGAGCTTTGACTCTTACATTAATCCACAGCGTAGTTTGCGTAAGTTATATGACTGGTCCATTTTCCTTGCCCATTTAATAATGTATGTATTTTAGAGTGAGGTTTTCCAAGCCACCTAGTGCCTTTTCCAAGCCACCTAGTGCCTTTTTCCCCTTTCA